GTTCTCGGCTGTTAGTATTGAAGTGACACATTTTTGATAAATCAAAAAAATCTTTAAAGTTCTCTGTCGTTCGTTCGCGTTCATTGTTTTCGTTAAGTCCGTTTATTCAGTGTGTCTGAAGAGTTAATGAAAATTGATCACATTGTCAATTTTGAACCAGCAGAGTATTAAGCGGTTGTATGGATTTACTGGTTTCAAAACACCGACATTTTTAAAATATTGTCCTGAATTTTCGAGTTGTTTCGAGTAATAGTTGTGGAGATACCTTGAGAACTTGTGCGTCCGAGGATAGCGTTTTTCTCTAAAGTGTATTTTTGAAGTCGGTTGACAAGATTTATGAAATTTTACACTGGTCTTTAAGCTACAATTATTAAAGAGTTATAAGTTAAGGTTTTAACTAAACCATGTATTTCTGTACTTAATATGGTTCTCTAAGGAGTTGTCCTGCCAACGCGGGCGCTTATTTCGTCATGGGGCCACCAAACATGTTTAAAATGTTTTTTGCCAAGAATTTCAGAATTTCTTTCTTAATAGTGTATGTTTGTAACAAAAACAACAGGCTGTTTATTACCCGAGAAAACCAAAGTTACTCCCTAATATTCTAGATTAATTTTTTCTCATTTTGCTAAAAATATAGAATAAAATATTGTAGCACAGTACTTACAATGGTTCCTTGCATAGTAATGTATAATTGCATAATAAGACGTAAGTGATGTGTGTAAGTCTGCATATGTTAAGATAGGCCACAAAAATTATCATCAAAATCAATTGCAGCTAATGGTAACGTGAGAATTAATCTCAAGCTTCTTTTTTTTTAAAGACAAACAACGCTGTAGACTTCAAGGACCTGGCTTCCTCTCTTTCTATTTCTCCCTTGCCAAATGAATGAAAATTGAGATCTGACAACTACCATTATTATGCAAATATTTAAACTTCAAACGAAAGCCGCGCAATTTAGTAATTGAAGCAAAGGCACTCAATAAATAACTCGCAATGGCAGCTAGTACCAGTGACGGCAGTGCAAAATAGCTGTGATGTGTGGCGTGGACTTTGAAGCGAGAATAAGTATATGTGCTTGCAGCGAATAGCGGTAAAGGCATTGCCGAGCTAATAACTTAATTTGATTTCTCTAATGTATTTATGAATGGTAAATAGCGCAATTAAGATGGCAGCCGCAAGACAAAATAACCAAAACGATGAAAGGAGGTGAACGTAATGAATGCAAGAAGCGTAACAGAGCTCTTTTAAGTGCCGACCAAGTTGTAATAATCAATTTCCGGATACTCCAGAGCATGCAAGACAGAAGTGGAGCGCGGAATATAGCTAAGCGGCTAACAGGCGCTACACAAAAAATTTTTACGCTCACTGAGTGATATGTTTGCGGCTAAGTCATTGCCTTTGAACTGGATTTGTGTTGATAGCACACGAGCAACTTAAGAACATAAAGTCGCTGTGGAGAGGAGGAGCACGTTTAGGTAGCAGGAAGGTGGTTTAAAGGTATTTGATGGACAGCTCTTTGAAACGGTGCCAACAGCTGCGGCTGCCAATTGATGTATAGCAGTGCAGCGTGTTGCATGTTTTGTGCAATAAACATACAAACGCACTGGGAGTGACTGTATATGTGTGTGTAAGCCAAGTATTTGTGCAGGAATGCAGTGTGCATTTTTGCGCCTGTGGGAAATCACATTGCAACAAGCGACCAAAAAATGAATTTGTTTAGGCGTTTATGTGACGAAAAATGATTGAAAAAATAATCAATAAAATTATCAAAAAAAAAAGTTTAAATAATAAAGTAAACTCAGCTACCATTAGCTGGTTAGCTGTTGTTGTTCCTATAGACATGCGTGACATGCTTCACTAGCAACACGTTGCGCATTGGCTTCATTAAAAGCAACATGTTGCTAAGTACTTATGCCGAATAACCGCCGCAGCAACTAATCCAATCAAGTTTAAAGTGCGCCAAATTGACAACTGTCCAAGCGACTGAGCGACCAAACAGCGAAGCGTTTGGCTGACGGCCACTTTATTAACCAAAATACGCATAAAATTGAAGCGATTTGTTTTCGTTTAATTTTTGCGTACGAACTTCGTTTATGTCGCAGCGTTTGTTTTGGTTTTGTTTTCGTTTTTGCTGCTGTCCGTCGAGCGAACAACTTGTCGCTGTAATTGATTGCTCTAGCTGCGTTGCCGGATTTCAGCTTTTGCTTGTTTTCAACGTTATTGACTTGTTGTTTTTGGTGGCAATTGACAGTTGCTGCGGACTACGCTAAAATGTGGCAAGCATCGAGCGAACGATTAAGAAGTGGTTGACAACATTAAAGCTGCAATTGCCGGCCAAAAAGCGGATGCAACATTTATGTGTGTGTTAAGATAATTTAATGTCTGTAGATGTATATTATATAAATATATATCTTTATGTATATTTGGAATATTGTCTTTGATGATAACACCCGTTATTTGCAGTGCTGTCGCCACTAAATGAACAGTTTGCATTTTTCGATGCTTGAGTAAGGGCAAGTTTCATATTGCAGCGCTTAAACTTAATTTTATTTATTTGTTGTAAGTTAATTAGTTTAGTTAATGAAAAATTAAGAAAATTGGACCTTAAGGGGGTATTCTACTCTAGAATTTTAAGAATTTCGATTTTTTTTTTCATATATTTAAAGTATAGACCCTTAAGATTAATATCGTCCAAAGGATTTTTAAAAATTAGAATTATTTTAAGAGCTACAGTTACTTTAGTGACGCAGTACCTAGCCCGGTAGGTAGGTAGACTCACTTTTTTAAACGCGTTTTTCTCGAAACTACTTTTTTCCACACGGTACCGGCATTATCTCAAGTTCTATACAACCGATTTACTTGAAAGTTTGTGTGAACCTTCTTTATATAATCATTTATCGTTCCTACCAGCATCGTGTCAAAATTCTTGTTTTTAATACTTTAAAAAAATTCAGGAATTTCAAAAAAAAGCGTAAACAATTATTTTTATTTTCAGGCAGTCGCCATTTTTCATAAAATTTTTTTTCGTGGTCCCTCAAATAGGGACTATAACAGCATTCATACTGATTAAGAATTTTTTTATTTTTAATTTTCAGACCACCAGGATATGCCATTTTTTTACACCTGTGTATCCCCCTCTCTAATTATTTTAATTTATCATTTTTTTTTGTAAAGATTTTTTTTCTGTATTCTTAAGATATCAATAAAAAGACCCTAAAAAAATGGATAGTAAAGATATTTTTAGGTTTTTTTTTTAAATAAAATTCAAAAAACTTAATATTCCATTTGTTATGTAACTCTTTAACTAAATTATAAGGATTTTATTCAAATGTCCTATAATTGAGCATTAATTTAGGCGGGTTTTTACTATAATTTTGCAACCATTTGCTACAGAAAATTATAGTTTTATTCAACTAACGGTTCTACGTATCACCTGAAACTAATCGAGACATATATTGTTTTATATACATATATATATAAATGATCAGGATGACGAGAAAAGTTGAAATTCAGTTGCAATCTGTAACTTGACTAAAAATTGAGGTATCTTGATGAAACTTGGCATACAGGTTCCTTAGTACAACAAAAAATCGAGACCTTAGATGGACGTAATCGAAAAATATTTATTTACATTGAGTAGAAAAATCAGCAAATCACAATGTTGCATGCAACGTATCACTAAAATCACAAAACTTGAAATAATACAGAAATTCTTTGTTGTTGCGCAGTTGTTGCATTTTAGTAAGTACACATGCAAAATAATTGCCCGTGGCAATGCTTTGTTGAGATGGCCGGTTAATAACCACAGCAAAAAGTGGAAGCAAATACAACAGTCGCAAAAAAATGCAATAAAAAAAAAGAAATGGCTTCGCATGTGAAATTTCTGACAGCTGAGGCGCTCGTTTTGATGTCGCTTTACATGCATGTCTATCAATCTGACAGCTGTTCCCTCTTGTCAGTTGCAGGCACCATTACTTATTATTAGAAATTGCAAATTTAGCGGTTAGAGTAACCAGTTTGTTTGTGCTTTGGTGTATATTTGAAAATCTATAATTGCATTTTTTATGCAGGTGATTAAATGTAATGATTAAAAATAATATCTAAAAATCTCGCAAAAATGTGAAAAATAAAGATTAAAAGAATTTCATTTTCAAAACATTTAATATTGCATAATCAGCCAAATCTATCTATTTCATTATGGAAAATATTATACAAAGAGAGATATAAGTAAGTGCTTTAGCATTTTGTTATGGAAAGGTCTAAACAACGATTAAACATGTGGGGTCCCTGCATTCATTGTTGGATAATATTCTACCAAATAGACGACATTCAGGACACAAATATAGCAGCCGTAACTGAGAGTGTACACGAAGACGCGTGGAGTGTCGATTCGGCGAAGTTCACGGCAACTCGGACTAGCGTATGGAACGATTTGGCGCATTTTACGTCGAGATTTTAAGTTGATGTGGCATGAATATTCTTCAAATATAACTCTATCACTAGAAGCAACAAAAAGTAAAAATTTTAAATTTATAAGAAAAAATCGACAAAATTGAAAATTTGTGACAAAATTGACCTTCTTTTTGAGTAGACGCCATTTTCTGAAAAAACCAAAAAATTGTTATTGTTTTATTTTTCAGATGACGACAAGAGTAGAAATCATGGCGATGAGGACACTGCCTCTTTTTTTCCCCTTTTCTTCAAGGACGCATCACGATGAAAATTTTTTTTTTTTTTTCAAAATTTATTTTGTGTACTCTTCTAAGTTTAATCAACAAATGTTAAAACAACTCTTTTTATTAGTTGTTGAAAAGGGCTCGAAATTCGAGCATCTAGACAAGAATACCCCCTTAAAGTTTAAAATAAAGCTAAAACATAAAAAAATGTAAAGGAAAGTTCTTAATTTTCTTCTGCGCTTTTTGCCAATATTTTCACACACACACTGATGGAAGTTTAGCATTGCTTGTTTTTGTAATTGCAGAAAAATGGTTCATTGCTTACCTTCGACACGGTGACCCCATAGGGTGTTCATGAAGCGCGGCGCATTGTCGTCGACATCAGATACACGCACAATAAGCGGAATGCTATGTCGTTTGTCGGTTACGTTGCGAATCGAACAGGAAACCCGTGGTGCAGCGAAATGAGAAAAAAATTAAAATATAATTAAGAAACCAAAAAATACCAAAAATAAGCAAAAACAAATCAAATCGCTCAATACTTTCAAATAAATAAAGCAGCCAGAGGTAATCACACACACAATCGTAGAAACTGGGAAGCGCTCTGTTGGTGGTTTGTATAAGCAGAAGATGTGCTTAAGAAAATGTGGCGTAAGTAAAGTAACCATAAAGCGCTTGCATTTTTCTGTTTATAAGTTAAGCGCTTAAGATTCTTTTGTTGGCCGGCCGGCAAATTACGTGGCGTGCAATTGTAAAATTTCACCATAAAAAAATTGCATTTCACCAAATAAAAATTCACAGCGGCAAGCCACCGTGGGCTTTTTTCGTCTACACATATACACAGTAACACTTGCGCGTGTATATTTCGCGTTGTTGCTCTTGTTATCGCATTACACTTTTTACCGCTAGCCAACCGCCTTCAGCGCGCTGCATTGCATGCGTTCTGGTTCCATGTCAACTTTGTTCTAGTAGTTTAGCTTGTGGTCATATTCGTGCACTCACCTGAAAGACAATGTGACTCAGATTCTCTTCATCGCGATCCAGCGGCTGCAGCAGCTGCAATTTTTTTTTTTTTTTTTCTGTCCAACAGGAATGTCGGATTCCCCTTTGGTAAAACTAGATCCGCGTTTCCGTGTAGGGATCACCGTAAATTGGCAACTCCGGCGGCGTGGTTTGCTGGCCAATAACTGTAAATACATAAATAAACGCTGCAGTAGCGGCTAGTGAAAAAACAGCAAGCGATAATAGAAAACATAAGAACAATAAAAACAAAGGAAATTTTTAATTTCAGGCGCCCCTACGCTTTTAATGCCCTTCACACGTAATGTTTTTAGATTACAGGAGGGTTTAAATTCATATTTTTCTTTTGATTCCTATCGGAAAGTGTTAGTGGTGCTACAGTAGACTATATTGAACAATTTGTTTGAAGATTGTAGAAAGTTAGACACTGATCTATGCACAATTTCGTAAAAAAGTCGTCTCAAATGTAAAAGTCTTTCATACAGACACCTGACTTCGATCGTTTAGTTTGTGTGATAGCTATATGCTATAGTGTATGAGTGAGTAGTGATGATCAGCTTCTTAAAGATAAAAGGATAAAAGGAAAATTAAATGGTTACATTATAGGATATCCGACGGTTATTTTTGGTTGCTATAAATTTCGAGACTACCTTTGTAATTGACCTAATGAGCATAGTATTCGCAACACCATCGCCCAACTTGAGACCCATTATTCATTATTGGATAATATTCGACCGAATAGACCAAGTCCAACACGCAGTGAAGAAAATATAGCAGTCGCAAGATCATGAGATATCACACCATTTGACTTTTTCCTGTAAGGATGTGTAAAGTCTAATGTCTAGGCAGAATATCCCACTTCTATTCAATCCTTGGAGCAAAACTTCACACGTGTCATTCGCCAGTTACCAGTCGAAGGCTCGAACGGATCATCGAGAATTGGACTCAACGGATGAATCATCTCAGACGTAGCCGCAGCCAACAATGAAAAGAAATAATCTTCAAAACCTAAATGTCAAACGAATTTTTTTTGAAAGGTAGTCAACATTCCCCATTAAGTTTGAAGTGGCTATGCTTTGAAAAAGTAGAGAACCTCGAAATGTTTTCAGTATCGTTTCGAAACTTTTTACTTTAGCGAAAGAAGAATTGAGGAAACTTGAAGCTGTCGGAATTTATTTTCTTTAAAGCATTACCTCTACTGCTGAGTTATTTGTGCATTTATAATGCGTAATTTGACTATACTACCGTCTATCGGATATGACACAATTGAAATGGCATTATTATTAGCTAAAAGTAATTGAGATGCTCTCAATTTCCAGTTCTCCAGCTAATCTTTAAAATAACCTAATATAAATTGTGAACAGACTACGTAAGGTATAACGGTCTAAAATCATCAAAAATAGTAATAAAACTGCTATCAAAGTTAACAATTCTTTCGAAATTCCTGTAAGATTTGTAAAGATCTGATGTGGTACTATTAGAATTGATGAACTCTAGTACCCGTGTTTGTTATGTTTCAAAGCCGAGCAAAAAATGAAGCTGCACACTTGCTTTTGTGTACATAAGGGCATATGATGGTCAATAAAATGTGCGAAAGCTTCTCTTACCTTTGATTCAGATAATTTAAAAATAAATACTTGAATATTTTCTTACACTTACTCTCTTACAATTACAAAAAAAAACACTACCTATGATATTTTTCTTGAGATATATTTATATATGTACATACATCTGTCGTTTCTCTTTATTTTATTTTCTGAAATTTTTTTTATCTGTAAAAAGCTGTTCACTTGTCGGAGCTGCCGATATCGGTTTACTATAGCACATAGTGGTGATATAAAATAACTTCTATGCTAGAAAAAATAGGTATGAACGGTATTAAAGGCAGGTATGGCCTTCAACCAAAAATGGATCTAAATAATTTGAAATTCCACATCCCTAAGTTGTGTTTTGCATTCTCCGCTCATTTTAATGCCTCTTGCTTTAATTTCAAATTACCTGTTAATATTGCGCTTTATTTCATTTATCAACTATCTAACGAATTTCTACTTTCTTTCAGAGTTTACATGCTAAGCAACTTCCCATTCATGCCACACAGTTATAATCATTATATTAGACACTAAGGCTAAAATCACAAGTAGCAAAAGAGTTAAAGAATAATCTAGAATATGAAGCCAACGGCAATACATACGTACACATATAACAACACAAATAATAGACAGCCGAGCATTAGAACATAAGAATATTAGATTCGTAAGAACAGCAGAGCGTATAAGTTTACAGAGAGGAAGCTAATGTAGCAACAACAACAGAAAATAAAACAACAAACAAGTAGGAAAGCCAGAGATGCAAAGAGCAATGAGACAGTGACGACGAGTGCTCCCACTGAGGCAAGAAAAGGCACACGAATTTTTGCTGTTGAAACGTGGCCTATAAAACCAAAACAAAAACTACAACAACAATTGTAAAATGTGGCCAAAAATGCATAAAATAAGAAACTATGACACTGAATTCTAAAGAGCAAATGAAACATATTGACGCTGGAGCTTTGGAGGGAGTGCTGTGAGTGAACTTGTAGTACATTCGTGCAACAGCGCGCTGGCTAGTAGAGTAGTAGCTGTGTCATCGTAGTTGCAAGCACATTTTGGAGCATGTAAAATGTTCTGTGCGCTTATTGTTGCCGCTCTTGCGCTCACTCAGTTGTTTTTGCTTTGATTCCACTACTGCTCATTTCTTCGGTTTTTCTTCCACCAACGTGGCGTTCGTTTTTTATGCTTTTTTGCCAATTGCGCAATGCGGATGTTGCACTTGGTTTGTGTAAAGGGCGTCTTTGTGGCAAAAGCGGCGACGGCAGCAGTTTGTTGGGAGGCACACACCGAAGCTACAACAAAGCAACTGTAATTATCAGAAGAAAAAGGCAGCGAGCAAAATGCAACCTGCAACGGACGGACGAGAGTGGGCAGCTGCAATGGTGGCGTTTAAATGGCGGTTGGAGTACAGTGCAAGGGCGGTCCCGACATTCTAACATTGGACAGTTTGATCGGAACGTTAGTAGCCGCAGCGGTCTCGAGGAACGACTGCCACAATCAGAAAGTGGTTGTTAGGCTTATATATGTGTTTGTGTGACACAAAGATTATTATATCGTGTTGCGTGGCTGCTGTTTGTTGGTTGCAAGCTTTGTTTTTGCCATTTCTGTTCGAGTAAGGCTTTTTGCTACCACTTTTGCTCATGATTCTAACTTGCACTTGTCATGCTTTTATTGCACAATTCATTTAATACAATTACGCGACGAGTTGTGTTTCCGTTGATGGAAATTTAGCTGCCTCGCTGTGTGCACAATTGCTGTGTTCTTGCTGCCGTAGTCAACTTTGAGCGTATATTTATGTTTGTGGCAAGTACAAAATCAAATTTGAATGCTTCAGAATGATGGACGTTGAGACGGTTCTATGAAGAGAATATCGCAGAAAAATGAACACGCACACATACACATATGCTAATTGTGATTTCTTAATATGCAGCTTTATTGAATTGTGCTGTTGATTATTTGTGGCACGCTGCTGGACATATGAATGCCGGCATGTTGGAATGCATGCAACATGTTATTATTCACCACATAGGTGCATATGTATTATATATATGGTATGTATTCTACATATATTCAATGCCAGCTGAATACACGCACATATGCATACATATATACATATTTACAAATACACAAAAACATACATTTCCACTTGAACGCACATTTCACAGGCGCAGCGGTGTTGCAATGCTAGTGAAAATTAAAAGTAAAGGGTACTACACTTACACATACACTCGCACACATATATATATACGTTAAGTGAGATTATATTTATACTTAAACAGCAAGCAGCACACTGCAGCAGCATTTTCTTACGTGACAAAGTAAATTACGCCACAGATCTTAAATTAACAATCTTAATGAAAGCCCGCCAATCGGCCGAAGGGTGGTGCCGCCATGGCAGCGAGTGCTGCAAATGCCATTTACTTGAAATACGAAAGAGATTATTGGTGCTTGCAACAATGCTTTTAAAACGAAAAATTACTGCCAGGCGAGATGATTGAAAAAGGAGCAGCGGCTATATAAACAAAAAAGCTCGTTATGCTACAAAGAAAGCTTTATAAATGATGATGAAAACTTTATACTCTACAAAAAAGCTCTTTATGCTACAAAGAAAGCTTTATGAATTATGGTCAAAGCTCAATGACTCCATAATTCATGTTGGAAGCTTAATGGTTACAACGAGCTCGTTAAGCTACAAAAAAGCTCTTTATGTTTCAGGGAGGCTAAATAAATTATAGTGAAAGCCTAATAGCCACAATGAATGCTCAATAAACTATATTGAAAGCTCACAGGCAACGATAACATCGCTAAGCTGGGTCAAGTTGTGGGTTTTTCGACTTTTACCTCAGCCACCCAGAGAGCTTTACCTATGAAATTTAATTGTACTTATGTAAAATGCTTTCAGTGAATCTAAAAATTAACTAATCAAATGCAATCTAAAGCAGCCTATAAAGAAGTTTATAGATTTAGGGAGGTTTTTATTCAACAGGGGGTTAAACTATTTTCTGAACGCGTCAGTGAGTGCAGATTTAGACTCTGTCGGGTAAAATCAAATAAAACCACCATGAAAAGAAGAAGTTCTTTAATAACTGAATGTTCGAGAATGCTTAATTCACTGAGGTTACATTTCGTTAAACAAATAAGTTTGTAATAACTGATAATTCTAATATTGTGGCGAGAAGACGAGACCATCTCTTTTGAATACGATGAAAAAGTTTGGTTCTCTCGGCTTGTACTCCGAACAGAGAGGTATTGCTCATTTAAAAAGGGTTACAAAAACTATGATAATAACTTATATAAATTACTAATAAACTCTCCAAATGTAATGGCACGGAAAACATTGTGGAGAGTATCAAACATATTTCTCTACACTGCAGCCAACACATTTTGCATGCTCATGCTGAAGAAAGATTGCTTTCAAGAGAACCCTAACGCTGTTGATGCAGTTAAGATGATATGCAACCATTGTTTGAACTGCAACTTAATTTTCTTTGCCACGTCGCTGGTGCAACCTGCAACGCTTAGATATGGCAGAACAATTAAGCCGGACAATTATAAAAAGACAGCGCCAATGGGCGGTG